CAGAAAGTACCACTTAGCAGGTATACATCAGTGTCTCATTCTCTGAAAGTTTCAGCCCTCAGCTTGAAATTTGACCCTTCAGAAATATTCTGGGTACTTCTCATGTACTGTGAGGACACTAAAAAGGTGTTATAGACTGAGCAGGAGTAAGACCTCTTGATCAGAGCGTTCATGTCACAGTCAGGCTAACAGCAATTGCCAGTCTGTCAGTCGTAGGGAGTTCATTAAACTGCTTATAAACAGCACAATTTTGCACAAGTAAATCCATGTAATAAATGTTGTAGCCCACATACACTTGCAAACTTTTCTAAGAGGATCTCAAGTCTAACCCACATTGAGAGTTATAAACTCATATTTGCAGATATACCCCATGAACAGCTTTTAAATCCACAAGAATAGGAGCGCTTAAATCCCTGAATTGAAGGAATACCCCAGACCCCATATTAAGCCTGAATTCAACCCACTAGAGACAAGTTAGAGATTAAGGCAATTGACTGACCATGAAAAGAAATTGCTATGTATAACTTGGCCAAATAGAAAGAATGGAGCAAAAAGGTTATGATATTTGTTAACATATTTGAAAAGGGCAAATACCAAGATAGGGAAATTTTTATTTTAGAATGGTTGGATGAAATTGAGCAATGAAAATCACCTTGAATTATGCAATACTCTTTGCAGTGAGATCAAATACTGCACAACTGAAAAGCCTTACAAGAAAAGCACAAGAAAACTAAAAATTTCCATCATGTGGAAAACATGCTATGATAGATTTTGGAATGTATCATCTGCACTGTACCAAGAATGGATAGATGGCATAGTAACACTAGGAATTCCTAACCAGGGTAGCATTTAGCCACTGATACAGAATGCATAGAATACAAGTAATCAAAAAAACTGTCTTTTACAGAAGAATAGAGTTGGTCTGTAAAGTCTCTCTTTATACAATAAAACATACTTGTGTTTGCTTTTTTTTTTAATATCTGTTGATAATTCAGCACTCTCAAGATTTAATTATTATGCTAGAAAAAATACTTTTGCCTACATAAACATGGCTGGTTGTGGGGTTTTTTAAATCTGAGTTGTATATACTTTTTCAAACTAGATGAATTGCAAAGACCTACATGTATATGTAAATGTAGGGCAAAACAGTGTAAAAAACCCAGAGCATCACAGTGACTCTAAAATGCATTGTAACTCTTGCAAAAAAAGATGATATCTTTACTTTGAACAGGGGTTTTATCGTGCTCATAAATATATATAGCTGTGGGTATGTCGAAAACAGCTAGGACAGGATTGCTTAGCTGAGTGGGAGGTGATGCAGGACTGTGCTATTAGTGAGCAGGAGGTGGGAGGTGACTTGGGCTGATGGGCAGGTGGGATACAGTATTTATACACATATGTTTACAGGTATTTTTAGAGGAGGTATAAATATACAAATGTTAATTCTATGATATAGCTTGCCTCAAGGGTGCATAGAGTGATGTAATAACTCAGAGCGAGGCAGCATAGTAGAGTGGACCGAGCATGGCAACTGAGGCAGGAACACACAGTTTTTAATCCTGGTTTCTACACAGTAGTCCTCAGTATTTGCCCTCCTCATGTGTTCTAGAATAGCTTTGGCTGGACACACATGCTCATACTGGGGGTAGGTAGTATATTGCACATGTAACTTGATGATGGCATTTGTAGTGGTTAGTGATGTAGGGAGGTGGGCAGTAGCAGTGGAGGAAATAACCCTCTCTATAAGGATTTTATGCCATTTGTCTTTACTTAGGTTTTTTCATATTCTCTTGTTCAAGTTGTTGTTCCACTTAGTTCTGTTATTCAGTACACTCACACGAAATAACTCTGTTTTTTTTCTCACTGTTTATTAATGAAACTAGACCAGTGAATCTTTTCATCATAAGTTTTATTAATTTTCATTTAAGATATGCACAGATTTTTCTCCAAGCCCACCTGCCCAGGAACAGTCAATATCTCTTCAAGTTATCTAGCTGGCTGTTAACTGAGGTGCAGTTTCAATAGGCCAGATGACATGTCTCCTCTTACTGGCAATGAGCAGTAATTTAAACAGCTAGTTTCCCATCTCTGTCTAGTCTTCCTATTCCCCTCTTCTCACAGTCTCTGTATATCTAGCCTGGATATGCCTAACTGGTTCTTTAGCATCTACTTAATATCCCTGACACTGCTTTCTTGCCTGTCCCTATTTCAGCTCTTTAGAAACAGTTGTAATATAATCCAGCTGGTGAACTGACCAGTCTCACTAGCTTTCCCTTCTATTCACTTTCAGTTTGGTAACCAAAGACCAGGATGAATGTATGTGTATCTGCACTTTTACTGATATTAGTAATGGTAATTAAGAATTTGTCTGGAATTTTTGGGAGGACTCATCTTGCTCTGGGTACAGGTAGGATTTAAGCATGATGTAAACATGTACTGGGAGGGAGGTGTGGCAAAACTAAACTAGATCAAGAGACACAGAACCATTACTGGGATGAGGATAAACTATGTATGTCTGCAACAGGCTGTAGAAGGCTGGGAAGCTGTGCACTGTGATTCTTAATGCTTACTAAATTGAGATACGTGGTAGATTCTGAGCATAAGGTAAATTAAATGGAAAAATGATTAATCATTTAAGCTCAGTTCAGGCTGCTGAACTATGGTAGAAGTCCAGCTGATACATATATTTTGCTGTCATGTGCATAGTATTTTGTTGCCTTGCTGTAGAAACACCTTGGTACCACTCCTGGATTTTATCTCTAAAAAGCTCCAGAGAAGGAGAAAAATGCCATTATACTCTCATACAGATAGATTCGGGTGGTGCTCTGGATACACTGAATTTCTTGTCAAGGCTATGCAGAAGCCCACAAATCTAGCTGAGCTTTCCCAAGTACCATCCATTATGTCCAGACAAAGGTTTGTTTGGGAAAATTTCCACTGACCTATTTAATTTGTTTCTTACCAGTGGTGAGGACAGCATACCTGCTAAGGTCTGTGCTGACCACTAGATCAGACAACAAGAGTCTCTACAAGTTCTGACAGCACAGCTTCAATGCTCAGGAAGCACAGAAGTTGTCTTCACAGTGTAACTACCAAATGAGCTCTAGCAACGTGCCTAACTCTGAAGGTGCAAAGGCTAAAAAACCTTATATGAAACATACACATTTTGCTTCTTTCACATTTTTGCATTATCCTTACCAGGAATCTGTCTTACTAAAGACTTCTTAAGCAAAGAAACTAGCTGTTTAATATCAGGCTATGACCCAAATGTTTCCCATCCCAATGGTGAAACAGGTTGTATAGTCCCTGTATAATTGCATTTCTGAGGCCTACACCCAGACTCTGCACCTGGAGAATGTGAGGGAGGTGCAGTGGAGATACAGAGGGCATCCAATGAAGGTCACTGCAGATTTTGACTCCTAGCCAATATTCACATTAGGAATGTATATACCTACTTATTTCAGATTTATCATGTGCCTTTTGCCATGTATATATTACAAAACCACTTCAGAATGTGTTCAAAACCCCTTTCCACCTTCGCCTGATCAATTGCTGTTAAAATGTAGTTCCTTTGGCTTGAAATAATGATTGACATTTTGTTGTGTCTCATATGCCATCTTAGATGGAAATTCTTTTAAAAATAAATGCGGCAATTAAATCCCCAGGCTGCTTCAGTTTGTGCACAGCTTGTTTTTAAGTAACTGGTAAAGAATATGAGAAGTTTTCAATGAAGCTGCCAGTTCCTCTTAAGTGTGCTCTGTGCAATATGTATCTTTCTTCCTTTATTTGCATTGGTTTTGTCACACAGAGATACTGGGATTGTTGTCACGTGTTCTGTGACAATTAAGGTTTTCAGATAACTTGTTGGTATTTGTGCTTAGGAAAGAAATGTTTTTCAGCTCATCTCTGACATCCTGTAGCTGCTAAGAGTATAAGTGCAAGAGCTAAGACCTCATGATTCATTGGCACAATATGATCTATCATCTGTATGGTACATAATACTGATTTGTGCTGAGAAAGAGGAGGAGGTGGCACCAGCCGAAGCTGAAGTGGCAGCTGCAAACCAGCTCTCAGTAGTAATAGGTGGGTTTAAGCATGTTTACTGAAAGACTGGCTGTGATCAGTGCTCTGCTAGGGAATCATAGATCCATAGAATGGGTAGGGTTGGAAGGGACCTTAAAGATCATCTCATTCCAACCTCCCTGTCAGTGTCTCACCACTCTCATATTGAATTTTTGATTAATATCTAATGTAAATTTCCCCTCCTTCAGTCTGATTTTCCCAGGGAGTGAAACTTGCTAGATAGTAGTTCAAGCCCACATATTAATAAAAGCAATCCTAACTTTGCCTTAACTTGTACGTCACCTGTTCCCTCTGCTGCATGGTCCCAGAGGCCAAGTAATGCCTTCTCCCTGCTGTGTTCAATGTGGTGAATGTGTCCTGCTGAAATTACACATGACGCTGTTTGCGTACTGAATCCTACTAGGCTGTTGCCTCTACAGCTGCATTTCAGTCTTCCCTAATCCTCTCTTCCCATGATCATGTCCTCCCCTTTAACTTATAGGCCAGAACTATGGGAGAACTGAGGATGCAGATCTGGGCAACCAACTGTTATCAGCTGCTTTATACTGTTAGAGCATAAGAAGAAGTTCTAAAAAGCACTAGGCTGTGGCCCAGCAGTGAGGCCTGAGTTAGAAAATGGTTGGGCACAAGTGAAATAAATGTCCCCTTGCAAGTCAGTTTGTGAGGAAACAGGTGGTACATTATTATATGGCATAGAGAACAACTCTTGGAATACAACTGGAAATAATTCAAAAGACAACAGTGAGTCCTTTGTAAATAAAAAACAGGGTATGATGTAACTGTCTTGTGATAAGCAGGGGTAGCCAGGGGGCCACGGACATAATGTTTTGTTCTTGTGTGTAATCGCTGAGTAATGATGAGGAAGCAAACGGCAGCAGCTTAGGTGAATGTTTCCATGTCACTACCGTGCTGATCCCCAGCAAGCTGCCTCTCCCTGGGCTGTAGGGGGGAGCATCCAATTGTATTTGCTGGAAGAGGTCAATGAGCCTCCTCAGAAATATCAGGGAAGGTCAGCTCCAGTCCAACAGGACACAATAGATCTGAACACAAGTGTTTTCTTGCCATTAATAGATGACACCTTCTCCTTCTCAGCCATATAAGGAAAAAAAAAAACACCAAAAAACAAACCACCAAAAACCAAAACAACAAAGTGGGCATAAGCCTGAAATGGCGGGTATTGGTCTTCTGATATTTTCAGGTATTATAATCTTATAGGGCAGATTATGAAAGACTGAACAATGATGAACGTAACTCAATGACTCTCTTCCTCCCTGCCTCCCTCCTCCAAAAAAGGAAAGTGGGGGTAAAAGGAGAGAGAGAAGAAAGAAGGCTCTGCTGGCAGCCTTGGGACAGTTAGTTTAAAAAGCAGGTGTGGGGGAAAATATGAGAAACAATCTTGTGGGATTCAGTGAGGAAACACTTCAAAAATATAATTTGATTAGGACACAGCCTGTATGATTCAACGAGGGGGAGGAGGTATTGCCTGGAATATGCATCTGACAAACTTTCACATCAAGAATTCCTAAATTACTGTCATGCAGCCATGAGGTAGGGGACAAAACAGCTTGTGGAATAGACAACTTTTTTTTCCAGTCTCCTGAACTGCAGCCTTTTCAGTTGGCATCTATGATGGAATCAGCACCGTGAGTTGCTTTTGCTTCTCGTTCCATTGATATATTCTACCTTACTTTTGTCACAGCACTGTGTGCTGCATACCCTTCCTAAGCTCTCTGTTGAACTGGAGGGCAGGTAAGAAAAATGCTTCCTTCACTACAATGTGCAAGAGAATGTCAGGTTTAATATGAAGATGATTCAGGCTTTTTGCCTGATCAGGTAGGCTTTGGCACCATTAAAGAACATCATTCATTCACTGACATCTGTTCATTATTTGTTATATCTGAAAAGATAAAGAATAAAAGAAAGTGATTTACAGAAGTGCAATCAATATCGAGAAGTATTTAAACATTTAAAGACTGCAGGCCCCAACCCTTAGCCATACATGGAATGCAGAATGCTATGTTTTGCATCATAGCACAGTGAAGGAGATTAGGCAGAATCACAGTGTGGGACCTGCTCCAGCTACTAAAGGAAATGTGAAGGACAGTGTAGCCTCTGAAATTTCGTTCATTTTAGTGGCATTTCTGTCAGGGTTACAAGGAGGATTATACAGGGTAAAACTGCACAAATGGTAAAATGCTATTTTCTTTCAAAGAACTGGGCTCTTTTCACAGCCTTTCCTTTTTTTACCTGATGGTCCTCAATTTATAAGTCTGCTGTTTAGTATACTCATTCAGGTAGAAAGTTGTGCAGGTGTAATTTTTACATCAGGCGTAGGTATCCAGCTTCTGCAAAGCAGGCAGCCACAACCTGGCTGCTATCTGCTTTGAACAACAGCACTCTCCCACTCATGCTAATAACTATAACTGGAAATCTCTTTTGTTATAAGCAAAAGTGAGAGAGAGTAAGTATTCGAAAAGGAGACTGTCTGCTTAGTGCAGTGCTAGGAACATTCACTTTGAGAAAAGAGGCTGGGTGCCTTAGCTGCTTTCTGGATGAAACCTCTACTGGCATGAAATAGAGAATTTGTGTAAAATACAAAACCAGTCCTGGGAGCAACAAATAGAAAACCTGTGTATGCACACTATATGTTACATCATGGTGTCTCTTAAATCAGTAGGCTTTGATTATTACTGTTTTGATGTTACACAAAGCAAAAGTGAAGAACTACCCCCAGCAAGCAGTCTCTGGCTATTCAGAGGCCTGGGGTACAGAAATGTCTTGTTCTGAATACACATCAGATTTTGGCAGGAGGTGCACAGACACAGTTCAGGATTTGTTATGCAATTATATGTAACTGCTAAGGAATAATTTCACTCTAAGTAGAAAGAAACATGTCTTTTGAATTGGTAAAATGGTGGGATTTTGTCCTTAACATATTTAGGAAACCTGGGGCTGATTGTAGAGCTAAATTAAGCACTGTAAAAGATGGTTATTTGCACAAGGTTAGCATTAAGATGTTAACACTATATGGAACTGTGTATGAAAGTAGAAAATTTCCTTTACAGGTGTGTCCAATTTTTTGGCATCAGTATGATCTTCTGTTTGGAGGCCTATTCTATATAACAAATTTTTGTTTATTAGAGGTTAAATAATTAGAGTGCATTAGCTTGAACATTTTCCTTGAAAGTACTGTCCCAGAGAAAACTGGACAGAACTACTGATTTTTTATTTGTATTTGTATTTTTAGGCCCTAGTTCAGCAATGCACACTTAATCACATTTCATTCCTTCAGTGCGCTGAAAGTGCATTGTAACATACTGAAACTCATGGGATACTGTAACTACAAGTAGAGCTGAACTGAGCTAGAAAAAATACTAAAATATGGATATAAGATTGCTGGATATGCTCTTCTGCCTTTGTGTTTATCTGATTTCCAATGAAAACCATGGAAGGGTAGCCATTGATTAGATCAGAACTTCCCAAAAGTTTCCCTAGTGTTACAGGAAACAGTTAAATATTAACCACACTTTTTTCACCACACTTTGTTAGGTCACAAGTTTTTAGAAATGATATAGCAGTCCCTAAAGTAAGAAGGTATAGGTATAAAGTCTTCAGAGTTTGAAAAATCTCAAGGCTAGAAATTTACATCAATTTTGTCTTGAAGAAAGGGTGGTATGAACTTGGTGGCTGTCAGTTTGACGCTAGCCCAGATTTTTGACTCTATAAATAAGTTGTCAACTGTTGCTCTATTAATTTTGGGTCCATTAAACAAATAACAACCTTGTGAATGTGTATAGTATTTTACATTTAAATATAACTGGGGCTGGGCTTCTGCAAAGGGGTATTTCACCTCCTGAGAGATTCACTAATACACTCAGGGAAAATAAAGGTAACCCCCAAATAACAATTATGGTCAGAATGTTAAGGTCAGACTCCAAAGGTCAGATTAACAATTTGACAGGTACATTGAGGATTCCAAGTATGAAACCTGAGGACCACTGCACATCTCCCAATTTTGCTTCTAGAAGAAATTAGATGAATGTTGTTAAAGCAACAAACTTGCTGATCCGTATAGTTTTCCTTCATTTTTAGGGAATGAAAAATAATGAGCATTCCAGGGAAACTGTTGAAAACATTGACATTTTAGTTCCCTTAGAAAAAAAAAAAAAAACAAAAACCAAAAACTGAAAACCAAACCCTTTCAAAAAACAAATTCCGAGTTAACAGGCATGTTACTTTGCATGGGGGAAAAATGGTCGACTTGTTTTACGGTGATACCTCTCTTACCGCGTATGGCTTAGGAAGGTAACTGGTTATTTCTAACCTTGGTTTAAAAAAGGTTTTCTTTGTCAACTGTGAGAGGAAATCCATATCTTACTTTAAATCTTGTTGGAAATAAACAACAATGACCAGCTTTATTAGCCAAAGCCTCAAATGCAGATGTAAATATTACAGGCAAGTACAGACTCTTTTAGTTAAGGATAACTTGTAGGGTCTGCTTCTTCAGCAGCAGTGGGGAAAAGAATAATTCTGAATAATTCACAAGCTTTGTACCAAAAAGCAGGAAAACCGGAATTGTTTAGTTGAAGACCAGAGCTCATGAGCTCTACTGGGGGAAGTAGAAACTCTAATAGAGTCACAGTGGTGTTTCTTACAAATAAGAAGTGATGAGTTTCTCTCGTTTTCTAATTATCTTCTGTTTTCTCGAAGTGGGAATCCTCACATCTATGTATAAACCATAGAAGTTGTTGTATAATCTAAATAAGCTGTATAGAAAGTGATGAGAAAATGATGTTTCCAGAATGTGGCTCATCCCACATATTTAACTTCCTATTGACAAGCTTCTGACAACTTTTAAACTGGAAAGCTTCATGTTTAATCCTCCTTCTCAGTTTCATTCCCTATCAGTCTCAAATATAGTCTGGTTGGCAGGAGATAGGACTTGCAAAGGCGCTACAGCAAGCATTTACGGGTCAGTGAACTTTCTCACTTTTAGAGGCATACTGCACTGGGAAACCAGTTTAGCTCATTTTCCTAACCACAGAGTGCAACTCAAGTGTTTGGAGAGCAGTTTTTCAAGTGAAATTGGTATGACACACAGTTGCATCCAAACCTCTTCCTGACTGCCACATCACTTAGGCTTCAAAACAGGTTCTTAATGAGTTTAATCATATTTAAAAATTTAATCTTTTTCAACGTTATTACAATTGCTTTTGGCAAAATTCAGTAGTACACTGAGCTCCACATGACTCAGACTCAAACCAGGTTTTGTGTATTCATTTCTTTGTGAATCACAACTTCTTTAGACAAGCCTTTAATTTTTTGGTGGTTTGCACCTTTTGCAACATTATTGCAAATATGATTAAAGAGAATAAGAAATGTTAGTGGCTCTTACAGTTGCTGTTCGCCATCTAGTCAGGTTGGAATCGAAACACGTCTCCTCTCTTCCTTTCTACAGCTGGCACAAAAGAAGAGTGAGTTTTGGAAGTTCTTTCTTGAGGATATCTGTCTATTCTTGCTGGGTTGCATAAGCATAAGTGAAGATCGTAGCGTATTATATCTCAAACAATAGCTATTTTGATTCTCACAGGCCTTCCCTTAGCTCAGCTTTAGGCCTAGAAATAACATGATTCTTTTTGATTTTAAAATAATCACTGGTCGATCTGTGATAGTGTATTTCATCCTCTGTTCTTTGCACAGTCCTCTCATATACGTGTGTGAAATTTGAAAGAGATTCTGCAAACCTTAGTCATGGGGAACAATGCTGTATTATACCAGAAAGCCTCTTTGAAATGCAAGTTCTTTGTTCTGGAAAACAAACCTAAAAAAGAATCACTTTCCCTTGATCAGTGTGGTTCTGGAGTACCCTGAATGTGCACAAGGTACTTAATATTTCATTCTTCCCACAACTTGCATCATAAGTTGGAAGTAGATCCTGGATTGGTACAACTTGATTCTCTCTTTCTAACCTATAAATTATGGAGAAACCTCGAAAAAGAAAGGGTGTAGCCCATGCTGAGATTATATTGTGGTTCATGTTTAACAGACAGCTTTCCTGTCTGTCTTTGGTTCCCATATCCAGGCACTAAGTGTGCATGTGCAGCTGAGTTCACCAGGGACAGAGGGATGAAAAGTAAAATTACAATAATATTGAACTTTAGGCTTGAACTCATACCCTGCAACCTGAAGCTAAGAGAGGAATCATCACCATATTTTATTTCAGTGTCCCTCACTTACTCCATTGGTAATTCTCTGTTACCAGTACTTTTAAGTGTGTTACTGCACAATGTCCAACTTTTAAGACCTTTACAAATTCTCTTGGTAAGCTGCTTCAGATGGTTTCAAGTGGAAAAATATTCAGAATATCACAATAATGTATTTTCTAATTAAAAATTTAAACAGAACATACTTTATGTTTTCAGGAGCATGCACGTGCATAAAAACAGAATCAAACTGAGCATACGCATTGGACTTTCAGTAGGAAGATAGGGCAGAAGTGCTGCTGAGGTCCCTTCTAACTGGAATGATTCTAAGATTCTTCTGTGACTGCACATTTTTTATGTCACTAACTGCAAGTAGAAACTTAACTCTAGCAAGGCATTTAGTATGTAGGTCCTGGGATGATGGACTTGAAATTCCTCTTTTTATTTATTCTTTTATTGAATTACCAGCCAAATGTAGCCTCCCTCCCTCTCCCTTTCTTGCTTTCTTATCCATCTCTTATGCTTGCTTCTTTTAGAAGTATGGGTATGGCTACTTCTTTTAGGTTATGACTCCATATAGTAATTCAGAAGTAGTATACTTTCTCCATTGAAAATACCACCGTTTGCCGTGAAAGTGCACATTTAACAAAGCCTCATGCCACATCCTTGGACTAGAAGATTTTGAGAAGCAGAAGTCTTTGCCTCCAGCCAGTCAGTTTGATTTCTACGGATAACAAAATTGATGACCTGCAATTCCAGTTGCTTAATGGTTTTACTTTACTGGAATGTTTTTGTACTTTGATTGTATGCTAGACAGTTCTGATAATTAAAATAATTACGGAATGTGGAAGCAATGCATGATGGAAAAGCAGAATATTCTTGGTTTGCCTGTTGTTGAGCCTTGACTATGTAGAAATAGCCAGACTCAAGTGAAACTATATGCTTAGGGAACAAATATTAGAAGTTATAAGTTCAAAATGGCAGGTTATCATCTACGCTTCTGAAGACTGTAATCTGCTTTCCTGGTGAAAGTTAATAGACAGGTCACTTCCACAAGTCTGCTTTAGAAGAGAGACTGGGACTTGATTCCAAATCATATTTTTGGTTCCTGTTGCTTCTGTGCTCCAAGAGAAATTACTGTCTCTAGCTCTCTTCCTCAAAAAAACCTGTATCCTTTTCATATTGTCAATGATATGCAAAGGAGTGTAATATTCATGTTAAATTTGCTGACCAGCTATACTGACAGTGTGATATGTACATTAGAGGATTTAATTTTAAATAAAATTCCCAAATCTGTTTTGTCTAGGCCACTGCTAAATCAGGAGATACTTCCAGACATCTCTCAGTCACTTCTTACCAATGTACAGCTCTTTTGGGATGAAAATCTCAATATTCCAATATAACCCCCTTGAGTTACTGTATTTATCTAAGTAAACATTTGTGAGAGATCCATGAAGCAATATGAGAAAACAGTTACTGCTGTAATAAGGAAACAAGAATGTTGGAGTGTAATCAAGTTAAAATTACATGCACATAAATAAACGGCATAATCATTTTATTAAATGTGTAAATCATTTTTTTATTTCTAGAATGATTTCTTTTAGCAGGTCATAAAATATTTAACATGAGAGATAACAGACTTCATTAGACAGAAACTTTTGCAACCTTTCACAGAAGAGAAAGGCTGTCATTATGCTCTCCAGAAAAATGGATCCTAAACCAGTTGAGTCAGGCATATTTGACATTGCTCACAGTGCAGACTGTTGTTGATGTTTGAAGACAATCCAGCTCTGAGCTGTAATTACGATGACAGATCTATTCGTGTTTGTTGGTGCTGAGGATAGACAGCTGTTTTCACATGCTGGCTTACAATTTGACAACTGCAGTCCCAACAAATGCTTTTGATGTTCATACGTGACGAAAATAAAAAGATCAAACATCACACACATAATGGCCCATTCTCCTTATCTTTAGCTTACTGTTGAATCCATAGAAATACAGGTCTTGAAGGGACTTTGGGAGATTTACCAGATCAGCTCTGAGAGAGTCATGGCTACCCATGGTGCAGCAATCTGTGTTGTTTTGTCTCTTCTTACAAAAAGAAGGGTTTTCTGGATAATGTCTGGGTTGATTTTCCAAGGGATAGACTATTTTACTGGTTTTGCTTCAGAATTTCCTTGGCCTACATTAAATCAGTTGCTGAATTCTCACCTTCCCATTCAATCCTAATTGTAGACTTGTTGTTCTTTCTAATTATTAATTCCTACAGCAGCCTCCACAGTGAAAGTCTGGCTTCAGCTTTAGGTGTTACTCTGCTCAGACTTTCTCTCTGCTTACCTTGGTCTTCCAGTACATCAGCTACTCTTCATTCCTATTTTACCTTCCCTATCCTGCCACATGCTTGAAGCTAGAGCTGTTACTCTGTACCGAGCTATGACTAAATGACTAAGGATAAAGACATGAGCTGTAACTTCTTGTCCATCTACAGAGCCACCCTGTGAATTTGCTTCACTAAGCATGAGTAGCAGCTCTATTATCCTTTCATTTGTACTCAGGTGATTCATTCATGCTCCGTTACTTCTCTATATATTTTGTAGGACAGACTCAACATGAAATATATATCTGTGTTTGTATGGTCAGGAGTCAAACCTGTGTTCTTTAAAAAAATTTCCTATCATTTCATAAAAAATGAAATTAAGAAATCAGTATGTACGGTTTTACTAGATGCAACTCTGATGAGTATTGATTTTGGCTATGGTACTGCCACCAGGCTATTACTACCCCACATATTCAAATGACATTTTATTCCCTACTCTGCATTTCTGAACAGCAGGCTGTTTTAGCTGCTGCAGAGTCACATCCACAGAAAAGGGACAGATGTTCCACATTTTTCTTTACGAAACTGAAGAACTTTTCAAGTTCAGTAGCTAAAATGCCACCAAAGAATCAGACAGAAACATTGTACAATAGATGACATTGTCCTAAAGAGATGAAGAAAATGTACTATTTAAATCACCAGTAGCACTCACAAGGCATACTTGATATAATTAGTAATTGTGTGCTCGACAGGCACACATGGTAAAAGATAGTCAGTTCCTTCCTACTACTCTAATAATGGGAGACTACATATAGATGTCTATTCAAAAGAGAGGATACAAGACTGTTGCCAACAACTGTAAGGGAGAAAGAGAGAGAAAGAAAGAGAGGATGAGAAAATTTAATTAACAAGTACTACCCAGAGAGATATTTTGAAGAAAGAATGACTCATAGGATAATAATGCAACTTTGCCACTGGCCAGGATAGGGAGGAAGAATATAAGGGAACAGCTCGCTTTTAATGAAGTAGATTTAGTTGCTGTATCTTTAGGAGATTGAAAACATACCTTTGTTACATGCTTACTCATATCCCTGCTGTATGTTTTTTAAAAAAAGGTGGGGGGCTGCTTTCTCTCCTACTGCCTGGCAAGGTCAAAAGGTCTGAGATACATCTTCTGCAAGGGAAAGAACTCTTTGTACCAAAAATAGTGCCCATAGAAAAGTAGAGTCAGAATAAAATGTAATTTTGCTGAAGATTGCCTCTTGATCCAAAGTTTTACATGCTTTTCTGGAGTTACAAGAGTTTTTGAAAGTAACACTTTTCAAAGGTGGCTTTCTGGTACCACTAGTACCACTGGAACTTTTATGACTTTACCAAATACTGTTCTGATGGGAACTGTGGCCATTCAGATATAGTGCTCTTAATTAATCTTATCAATTCAGTAGGAGGAATTTAATTAAAATCTCAGAAGATTGTCTGTATTGCCCTCCATTCTTAAAAGATGCACTTTGATGGGGCTGGGATGTTTCTTGGAGTATCCTGAGAAGACGCATATTAGTTACAGGCAGAAACATATCAAAAACATGTCCCTTACAAGCCACTACTCATTGTATTGACTTGTAAATTCATCGTAAAGAAGGAGTAATTTCTCAACAAAATTGTGCCAACCCATTTTCATTGTGGCATCTTCAGATATATGCCAATTCCAACTTCCTTTGGCAAAAGAAATTAGAGATGGAGTAACCTGGCAACAAATGAGGTTGCTCATTGTACTGCCTGAAGAAGAAACTGGATTTTACCTAATGAGGCTGGATGTAGTGCTTCATTTGGCAGCCTGTGATCACATTAGGAACAATGTTTGCTCAAGATTAACAAAATGGTTTGTAGCAAGTGTAAACAAATACTGCTAGCCTCTGTTTCCGCAGCACAATTCCCCATTTTCGTAGCAGTTGTCTATCCTAAGAATTTAGTAAATAATTACATAGTGAGATATTTCAGACAGTCCTAATGGGTACTGAAAAGATGGGAGATTTCAATAGGGACACCCTTGAAAATGAAATCTATGGTGTATTGTTATTTGGAACAGAGGAATTTTTTGCCATAGACATGAATGAATTCCCTGGGTTTTGATACTGTGATGACCTGGCACTTCATTAGAACCTTCAACTTCCGTAGCAACTTAATGTTTAACTTAATCCGTGATTGGAGGTGGTTCTTCTGGGGGATATAGATGAATGGGCATAGCAAAGCTGTAATGTATCTTCTTCCCATCAGTTGTTTTTAATGCTTTATCTTTGGACAGTGTAACAGGGAAGGTCAAGTAACTTACCTATTTTGTAAGAATAATTTTTACACTCTTACATCTGGGCTGTCCAAGAGCTCTACAAAAAAAAAAGCAGTTTAGTACGAGGAAATCACCATGTTTGTTGTGGTGTCAGAACAGAAGTGCCTTGCGATGTAAATCAGGCTTTCTTAATTGATCAGTGCCTACAGTGTATTACCATAGAGCATCCATTATGTCATTCTGACACATGTCAAGTATGTTCTGCTGTTGAAAGCAAGCGATGGCAAAGAGCCCATTTATTTCAGGTGAATCTCGTGACTTGAACACAAGTCAAAGTTTCAGCCCTTGTAAATACACAAATGTGAAGCAATGATACTAATAGCTACGATATGTGTTTTAAAGTTTTTTAAACACCATAGAGTTAAATATTCATAACATTTTGTCTGTGTTACATTCTGCTTGTCTTTCTAACTATTGCTTTTTCAATATTCAAAATACTTTAATGAGCAGCATAAGGTTGTGTTAATATGCCATATGAAGATGCTCTGGGTTTTGTGCAGGAAGAGAGGTTTACAAAATTTTAAATACGAAAAATAGAGTACTTCCCCACTATTCTTTCTGTTTTCAGCTTAGGAAATTTGCCAAGATCTAAAACTAATGTGATTAATTTATAGGAGCAGACATGGCGTATTTGACCCCAGCAATGCTTGTAAGGGATAGGTACCTGAAAGACAGAACTAGGGCTGAGCATCTGAGCTTTTATAAACCCAATATCAATATCCTGAAAAGAAAGCTTTTGCCCAAAGCTGTTACAGGATTTATAGTTTTACTGATAAAAGTGAATCTAATAAAGCTAAAGAGAACATGTATATTTTCATGTCTTGAGTTTGATTTTAGTTTTAAGAAACTGTATTATGATCAATGTGCTTCAAGCACCAGAAAAGTGAATACAAGTCCATAGTACTGGTCTATATGCTGCCCACCAAGCTGTTCTTGTTGGAATTGTTATTGAGAATTTTTAATTTTTTTTACCTTTCTTCAATATTAATTATTAATCCCAGGCCCACAACTGAAGGAAATCAGAAGTTTTGGCTTGGATGGATTTGGTGAAGCAGTGTTAGTTTATTAGAGAAAAAGATAAATTGTACATGTAAGTGTTACAGAAGGCAAATGGGTAAGTTAGAGTTCAGGATAGTTGTGTACTGTCAACTTATGATTTTTCATATTTATAATAATTTCATTTTTTTTCTCAGTGACTTTAATACCTATCTCAGGAGGAGCCCCAGGGGCTGCTAGATGTTTCTACTTGCTTCTCATTCACCCTTTTGTGTCATGAGACCACACATGAACCACAGCACACAGAGCTGTCAAGCTCTGTACAGCAAAGACAGAATAAAGAGGAAGCAGACAGAACAGAGGGAGAATGAGGAGATCTCATATACTTGGTAGTTTTATCTTTCATTTTCCAAACATAACCTCACAGAAGCAAGGTCTCAGTGTCTATTGCCAGTCCTACAGCTGTGGATGACACTGGTAATTCTGTGTGAAAGTTGTTATGGCAGGGAAGGAGCAGACCTCTATAAAGTGAAAATATATTGATTGGTGCCTAGAGATACAGGTTTATTAGTGAAGGTATGGGAGGATGTTTTCTGAATGAAATGTTAACTCTTGCTCTTCTTTCTGTATTATCTAAATGAATTTAGAGCTACTTTTAGTTGGATTTGTTAGAGTACTTTAAAGGGGTAGGTGATGTACTGCTTACTTTAAAAAAATTGAAGTATTTTAGTAGCCTCTGTACGTTCTGACCCCACTGGTGATCTTAAAATGAAACACCTCACAAAAACTGCCATGTAATCATGAGACTTCAAGGAAGCAAGGAAGCCTATAGACTTCCAGGATCTTCAGGCTTCCACATACGTGAGTGCTGTGACAGCTCGCCTGTTCCTTCCACGAGCTTTAGGA